GCCCAGAGAAGTTCTCTGGAACATTTCTTTCTGTGAAGTCAAGTGTCGAAGCATGAAGATCAGCACCGGGGCCTGGATCCAAAAGCAATCCCTTACTGTGAGGGGACATCTATATATCTCTTCTCCTCAAAGTCCACCCACAGATGTTCTCAGCTGGCCAAAGTCACACCCCTGGCACAAGATTGCCCACAGCAAAACATCACATACCCTCTCACAGGCCAACTTGCAGCATAACATCACCTGACAAAACTGAGTCTTCAAAGAAACCAGAAATTTCCACTTCAGTTAGGTCTAGATTTTACTACGTACATCAGCATATGTACTATATATCATTAAACACTTATAACCTGGGGATCTTGATAAAAAAATGCTATTTCATTTACTAGAATAATCTAAGTACGTAGTTATCATTAATCCCCTTTAATAAAACATAAATAGTAGCTTAGAAATATGGAGAATTTTTTCCCAGTTCCACATTCATTTTGTTCAGAAGAGTGCATGTAGTTGGGTCCATGTAGTTGGGTCCTAAAATCTTCCCGATCATCAACAGCTGCCTCTTCTGTTGGATACTGACTATATGAAAAAGATAAATCATTCACTAAAATAGAGGCCATTGTGAGAGTTGAAACCATAATTAAGCAATAGTTTGACTCAAAAGTTCAGGATCTTTCTTGTATAACTTCACTTAGATAGGACAATGGAATTTCTTTATAGCTAAGGGACTTCTATCCATTTTGATTTTAGGTAGTCTTCCCTTTTGTCACCAGAAAGTTCATGATTTGGAAAATTCCTAGAAAAAAAATCCATAACAACAAAGATTGAATGACTGATTAGAATAGAATGACTGTTTAGTTACTGAAAGACTGGAATGTTGCAAGATCATAGACAAGCTATCTGAGAACATCTTAACAGCCAATTTTGCCCTTTTCTGAACATGATCTGACATCTCTGAAACCTTTGGAATGTAAGAACAGACCTCTAGTGTCCACTACTCAAAGAGCTAAGAAGTACATCAGGTAGCATCTGAGACCTGTAGTTGAGTCCACTCCTCACTTTCTACAACATACCTACATGATGTACCCATGTAAAAGTTGAGCTCCAGATGTAAATGTTATATTTATTTCCTCAAAAGGGGGATGAGATAAGAGATGCACCCAAGCTGTGTGAATACACGGCTTGGGCTGAGCCCAGAGCATTTCTATCTCAGTTCTATCTATCCCGAGGCCTAGTTCTAGAAGCTTCTAGCCTCCCTGTAGGCTTAGATTATTTTAACCAAACCTATTTTATTCAGATTTATACTTTACTTCCCTTCCAACACCCCCAGTCATAAGTAGGAGATTAGTAGGAAAAAGGGCTGTAGACCTCTTTTATCTACTTCCTGCTGATTAGGGTTTTCAGGGGATTACTAAACTCAGTTGTCAGGATAACAGCAGTCCAGTCCAAAGGCCAACACCAAGCAGCAACACAAAGTCAGCAAAAGCAGCAAGACTCAGTTGGATTGCCCCTAGATGTTCTCTGGAATGATTCTTTCTGTGAAGTTAAGTGTCGAAGCAGGAAGATCAGTGCAGCGATGTCAGATTCAAAAAGCACGTCTCACTGTGAGTGGGCCTCTTTATATCTCCTCCCCTCTATATAACTTCCACGGATGTTCTCTGCTGGCCAAAGTCCCACCTCTCACATGTGAGAGCTCACAGCAAAACATTATGTGCCTTCTCACAAGCCAACCTGGGCAAAACATCACATGCCCAGCTTGCAGCAAAACATCCCATGACAAAACTCAGTCTTCAAAGAAACCGCAAATTTCCACTTCACCTCTGTACAATCTAATCTTCTGTAATCAACCCGTCTCTGTAAAATACTCCTGGTAAAACTGTGACATATACTACTACCTTGAACCTTGAAGGCCTCAGCTTCCAGCCTCCATTTGTTAACCCAGGCCTAGAATATTTCAGACTCCGACACTTACTGCTGCACAAACTTACCCTTACTAGTTCTTTCTGAACTCTGGCTGGCTGGGTCAACTCAGCTGTCTGTCCCAAAATCCCCTCTCCAAGTTGACTGAGTCCATCCATGTTCTCTCTTTGCAATCTGTGTTCTCTCTTTGCTTCTGTCTGAGTTGTTCTGCTTGGCCTCAAACTAACTAATCTTCTGGCTCCTTGTCATTCTCTGACCTGTTCTTTCTATAACCTGACCCTGTAAAATTGTCCTGGTAAAACTTTCACACACACACTACTACCCTACCATCACCTTATTTTTCTACTACCGCTACTACTACTGCTCCTTCTCTCACTGTGCTGCTCTCGTAAGCAGACTCGCGTTACTGCCTGTTTTCATGAGAGTTGGCCATATTCTATCTCTGATACATACTGTCAAATCTTTCTCTGATTTGTCACTTTGTCTGCCCCTCAATTAGACATCACTTTCAAACATTCCTGCTTCCTTCTGTAAACTAACCTTACTTTCATTGTTTGAAATTAAAAGTGTGTACTGAGGATATGTTTGTATTCCATTCTGATCATACTGAAATCCAGGTGTGTCTGACTTCAGTCTGGATCACATAGACCTAGAAGGTTTTTAGATGTGAGCCCTTTCCAGAGCATATTGCTGGATTAAAATTTCTCTATATACTCATCAATGTGTTTGAAAAGTGTGATGATACATGACTGCCTGTGTTACTGCAATAAAAAAAAAACTCAGGAAATTGCTATCTTATTAAAATCTTTTTCTGAGGAAACTGACCTGTGTTCCTATGCAATGCTCATTCATATTCAACCAAGAATATATCATATCTTTTGTTGATTTGAGGTGAGGGCTGTTCTTTTTTTTTAATCACTAGTTTCATGTGATTAAGGACAGAGTTCAAATAATAAGGTAAAGAATGAAATGAAGGAGACATTATGAACATACGAAGTGCAGACACTGATGTCTTCTAAGGTTTATAGCTTTCTTTACAATAGTCCAAGAACAAAAACACAAGTTTTTTATTTTAATGTAAATATCTTTGTCTGGATTAAAACAAATAATCAAACATTTAGTTTACAAACCTTTCCGCTCCAAATCATCAATCTCCTTTGCCTTTGTCTGTTAGTAACTTCTGAGTTTAAGAGAGTATTAATGATCTGACTGAATTAAGTATGCTTTAAAGTTGTATTCCCATTGAGAATGAAGAACAAAACAAATCGCCCACACATGAATAAGAAAATCTTTAACTTTTCAGTGTTTTAAGAATGATTGCTGGTGTGGTTTTCATACAGTTAATGGCACACAAAGTCCAGACACTTAGAAGAAGCCAGTGCAAAGCAGAAAATTTTTGTTTAATCCTATAATATCTTATTTACACAAGGAAGATTTAATTTTCAAATATTGGAACATGCTTCTGGCTTTTGTCTTGTCCTGTGCACAGCTATCTGTGATATACGAGAAGTGTTCTGGTGGAATGCATTGCTTCAGTGTTCACACAACAGCCTGCTGATGTACTTACACATGGTTCAAATCCATCTAGTGAAAATATAGGAATTGTTTTTTGGTTTTAGGAAAATGAATCTATCTTCTGTAATTCTATTTTTTTTTTTGCTAACATTTCCCCCAATACTGCTGTTTCCACAGATTTCAAAATAGCAAATAGATTTCAAAATTACAAATCTTACAGTATAATTTTAATGATGGCAAAACTATTGAGCTTATGTAAGTCTGAGTACCTCAACATTGGAGTTGTAGTTACTTTGGCCCCTGGAGCTGCTGACCATTGTTGATGGTCACACTGCTGTGTGAGGCACTTATCTTGTCATAACATCACTGTCATGGTGTCTGCTACACGGAAATGGTAAGCTATCTTATTTGTATTAGGAATCTGGTAAGTGCTGGTCTAGAGATTTCTAACTTCAAATTTGAAGTCATTGAATTAAGGACTGTTGCAGCCAGTACTAAAGATACCTGATAAGCTAAAGTCAGTCAGATGGAAGGGAAGGAGGACCTCCTCTAGCAGTGGACTTCGAAAGGGATAGAAAGAAGATGGTGGAGGGAGGGTAGGATTGGGAGGGAATGAGGGAAGGGGCTACGGCTGGGATACAAAGTGAATAAACTGTGGTGAATATTAAAAAATAAAAATTAAAAAAAGAATACACATACCAACACACAAATATCTCATTTTACCTTGCTTCCTACTTGGGAGCACAGGCCAGAATGAGAAGGTTTCTGTTGGAGGGCATAATGGGAGCACAAGCTGTGAGTTTTATACAGAGAACATCACCTCAGAGGCTCCTTTGATCCTGAGAGTGTGCCCTCCTCCGGTACCAGTGCTGTCACTGCAGGGACAGCACCTTCCGAACAAACAAGGCTTCCTAAATGTGCTTTGCTATTAAATGAGGCCAGAAGAACTGCTAAAATAAATTTTGGGAAAAGGTCGTCATTGTAATACAAAACTAAGCAGCTGGAGGACTTCTCCGAAACTATAATGTATGTTCATTATGCAGAAGAGATTTTGCAATGAATAGAGCTAAAAATGCTATTTCTTTCTTTTTATGCACCGAAACTTGGTTTATTGTTAAGGTTCATATCTAGCTGAATTCCTTCATGAAGTCATTCCTAGTCCACTCAGACTCATCTCTACCTCTTTGCACATTATTGAACACAGGCTCTTAATAAACCTCTTTTCCATTTCACATCCATTTCTTTTGCTATGCCAGGGAATATGTGTTTGTTTTCCAGAAGTAAACCACCTTGAAATAATAATTATTAAATGTTATAGTGGTATAGCAATCTGCTAGAAATTTTGAAGGCATTCAGAAATGCTTATCAGTTACTGACCATATTTGTCTCAAATATATACCAATTATCTCAAGGATTATTCTGAGAAGTACATTTTTTTTTTTAAGCCTTTGAGGAGGAGTAGATAGGATTTTTTTTTTTTGCAGTGCATTTATTTACTGAACTTACTAGTGACCAATAGAGTTTATCTCTATAACCCAAACTCATACCCAAATAATTCCAGAGAAACAAAATCACGCAAATGTGCCTTTATTAAACTTTGAGTTCTAATTACAACTAGGCATTTCACTTGACAGGCATGGCATTCTAGAAAACAGTTCACAGCACTCAGAGGGGACAACCACGGGGAACAGAGCAGGTTACTCTGCAGTTACTATGAGTGTTGAATAATTCAAGGAGTCACTGAGGGACAGAGTTTAAGTAGTTACTGGTCCTCCTTACCAACTGAATATTCTAGACAGTGGAAAGCACCCGATTATGACAGAGTTACAGAGCGTTTGCACCTAACACTATCCTTTTAATGTAGGATACAAATTGGCGTCACATGTTAGAAGGCTAATGATTCTTTCAGATTAAGCTACAGGTTTTTTATGTGTATCATTAATACTGACAAATCATCTATGTTAAGAAATCGACAGAAGAAGAGATTATAGTGGCACACCACTGTGCTGGTAACTATAGGAGATGTGTAGCCATTGCTAGAGATCTTCTCTTCGCTCTGCTGGCTTTTTATGAGTTCTTCTGAGATATCTTCATTGCAACCGTCTTGAGCTCGGTGTATTCATAAAGACCTTCCTCACCCCTAGAGAGGGAAGAAAAATTGCCAGTCAACATGACTGTGCACTGCAGTGTAAGTCAAATATAATCCCTGGCAACATGGTATAAGTTTTTTCTTGCTTATCTGACTAGGGACAATGTAAAATATTTACTGAGTACACAGTACCTCCTACAGTTGCCAGCCAACCATAAGCTTTATGACCTAACAAAGTCTGCAATGGAGAAAACTATTCTTGTCTTTTATTTTAAATAACTGCGTACATGGCTCAGTTTCAGAGACGATGTCTATTGTGTGCATCACACTACTTGACCATATGACTAGCACGTAAGTCAACCTGATCAGATTTTATCAGGCCATTAGTGAGGGAGGTGCAGTTCGCGCTGCACCGTATGGTCTCTGAAGGGCACTGGAATAAACCACCAGCTGCGCTGGAGCCTGCGTTCACCATCTGCATTGTCACGGAAGGGTGAGCAGGGAGAAAACACCCAAGATCCACGTTCCTTCAGGGTGGCCTGTTCTTCTGAAGCTGCGGTTGAAAAAGGGTGTTTTGATTCTGAGCCAAACAACCACCCAATCTTTGCTGGTAGAGTTTTCTATATTTTGGATTGATTGTATATAACTTTATGGAGGAGAGAAAGTAAAGGTTGTCCTGATTCAGGCTCTGGGATTTTTAGCAGAAATTGAGTTTGTCTATTAATCAACCTGCTGTAACACATTGAGGAAACTTTCAAGTCAACCGCAAGTGAACAGCAGCCGAGACAAGTCCATCCGTGGACACAACAGTGACTTTTAATCAGGGTTTTGTCCCACACCAACTTTGGAAATTATGGTTTCTTTCTACCTGGTGGATGATTTAACTAGGGTGTGCTGCACTCAGTTAAACTCTGCATTGTTTTGGTGAGAAGATAAAATTACATGTACATAGGACTATTCTTGACATCCTAACACCTACGCACACACAGGTTTGCTGAGGAACAGGATTTTGGGGCTTCTTTATCAGTGCTATCCCTAATGCCCTCCTTTTGTGTATGCAGAAGTTGTCTTATTCTCCCTAGAAACAGAATCTCCTTATACCGATTATTTTGTGGGTAATTAAAGTTGAAAAATACTTCCTGAATGCTTCAGTGAAGATGCTTTTCACAGCAATTAAAGAGCGTCAACCCAGCTCTCTAAATTCTATTAAGAGACAGTACTTAGTAAGTGTTTCATCTCAGAGGCAGATAAATTAAGCCACAATCATTGAGCAGGTTGCTTTCTACTGTATTAAGCTGCAAGCGCATTTGGCACTCACTAGAGAATCGTGCACAATTGTGGTCACACTGAGGCTGATGCTCTTAGGAATATTGTGCATGTACAGTTTGCAAGCCAAAATAAAGGAGCACCGGCTTACACTTCTCATTAGCCCAGGAAATCTACATGTTACTAGTTCTACGCTTCTGAATTTTCACTGCACACATCAACCGGGCTTTCCTCACATGCCCTGGATGAGGTCTGCATCTGTATTTCCCACTAAACTTCTGCATGGTGTTCAGGCTTCTAATCACAGACCTCATAACATGTGAGAAGGTTTTAGTAGCAGGACATGTCTGCTCTCCTCTGTGCCCAGAAATTAACTTTAACAAAGTCTCGAGAGACTGCTGAAACTGACAAATTTAATCAAGCGAAATAAAAATGCATTCTAGTTCTTGTTTTAAACACAATGTTTAAGAATACCTCCTAGTTCCGTTTCCTTTCTTATTCCCTAAAATTGACTGAAGAAAGAAAGCCTGTGAATTACATAGAGTAACTAAATTTGGAACATCCCCAAGTGAATTAAGTAAACAAATGTGAAGTGACTAGGATTACAAAGAGCTAGACTTTGGCCATTTAACCTGTTCTAGAGCCAGCACTTATCACAGATTCAGACCTCAAGGCCTGGGATCCACTGAACACCTTGGGAACTGCATATGCCTAATTTTGGGGTCATTGTTCCCATCAGATTTGATTCTGTTTCTCTCTCTCTCTCTCTCTCTCTCTCTCATTATATAATCCTGGATGACCTGAATTCACTACTTAGCCCGTGCTGTGTTTGAAAGCACAAAGATCTGCCAGCCTCTGTCTCCTGAATACTAAGATAAAAAAATAATAAACTAAAATTCTTGGGGGTCATTAGAGATGGTCACTTCAGCCGTTGTCTTGAGGTGTTAAGTGCCAATTTTTAGGTAGACCTCACTAGAAGCATATTAGTTTGGGTTAAGGCAACTTTAATTCATTTAAGCACTATATTCAAATGCCTAGAGTGTTTCCATATTTATTTAAATGAATTTCTAGATTATCAGTTTATCCTTTCGCTTTCTGAAAAAGCTTCCCAAGTGGGTTCTAGTCGCTTATACCATAGGCAGTCCTGAAAGCAGGCAATGATTCAGCTGCCAAGGTCAAGTGTGTAGCATGGTGCTTTATTATCAGTAAGAATGCAATAAAGTGTACTCCCTCCATTATTGATTTTCTGCACTTCGGGATGACTTCCAAAATTTAAAATGTTACTCTGTAGTAAGAAAACTTCAATGAAGCACACAGGTATACTTTGCTTAAGGTGTTGGAAATGGACCAGTCTTCCAGGACTTATAATCCTTCTTGTAACAATGTTAGTAATACAAACTTTTACTTACAGCTCTCGTCCATTTCCAGACATCTTGAATCCACCGAAGGGGCATTGGGCTGACAAGATCATGTAGCAGTTTACCCTTAAATAAAGATGAGAAGGCCATTATAGTTAGTACTTTACTTATCTCATAATTCCAAAACTGAGACTGAAGAGAATCAGAGATCTTTCTAAAAACTCCATTATTCAGTATAATATGCTCATTTGGGATAAAAAGGAAAAAAGCAGTGCTGTAGCTTAGAATGCAGAAAGTAAACACATATTTTCCTAGAGATAAATGGATGGAACCATAAGTGTGAATAGTCATAAAGCAAGATTTGTCTGAACTATAGCAGAGGGAAGATTTAGTGTGTCATGAAAAGAGGTGTTTCTTTGGCTGGGATTTGTCTGCTGTTCTTCAGTAGGCAGATCTGCAATGCTTATATATTTACCAGGCTAAAATCATTGTTCTTTAGCAGTTGCAGTGAATGTCATAATACACAGTTCATCTGTTTCCTTAATAGGTTGATCTGTTCATTACACAAAATTGTTGGCAGGAATTGAAAATAATTAGTGATTTTGATCAGAGTTTATGAAAATATTAAATATTTCTATAGAGAATACCTTATAAAATGTGCATATAATTAAAGAAAGGCTCAACCAAAGATTGAACAAGAGGGAATGGCGATTACCATGCAGTTTTGCAGGCTGTAAACAGTTATTTTAACATTAGAGAAAATGGTATTTTGTGGGGCTGATGAACTCAGTCTGATGATGCAGACAACACGCTCTTTGAAGTACATGACACAGCAAGCCTTCAGCAGGTGATGAACACATGTGGTATAGTAACTCTAATAATAGTATGCTGTTATAGAAAAAATATATTAATCAATAGAAATATTAACTCTGTGATAAAATTTCATTAAGTACCAGGAAAATATAAATAATCAAAACAAGACACAACAGACTTTGAACTATGGTGCCTAATGCTAACGATATAATAACATTAAATGAACATTTAAAAACTGCTCTATACAAAAACTATTCCCAGAGCCAATCTTAAGACATATTGGGATGTTTGACTAACATCCTCAGTGCTCAATTTCTCTTAGTTGATGAGCCAACACTCCAGTTCCATGTCTCTGTTTTTTTTTAAACTGTATTTATTTTATTTTATTTTATTTTTTTAATGTGTATGTTTGTGTGCCTGACTGTTTGTAAGATGACTTATTAGAGTTGTGTGGAAGGCCTGGCTCTCCCTCTGCTATGTATTGCATGGTCTTGATAAGTTATATAACATAAGCAAGTTCCTTGTTTTACCACAGATAAGGTCTGGGTTAATAATTGTTTTCACATTAGCTTAAACAAGGATTATAAGAAATGTGTTGCCACTCTGAGTTAATAGTAACTAACTGATGACTCTCACACTGATAAGAGGAATAGATCTTTCAAGATATCGAGAATGTCAAGAACTACCTGGTTGTTTTTCTTCAGGTGCTTTTCTGTGCCTGATTTTCCTTAATTGGACTAGGAGAGATAATGATGATAGCTTGTGCTGTAGATGGATTTAGGGAAGGGAGGCTTGATGAGAAAAGAGCTGTTGAAGAGGCAGTCCAGAGTGGAGCTGCCTGGGTAAAGCTGCAGTTTGAGAAGGATACCCTGAGAATCTTCTAAGTTAAATTACAAAAATCAAAGAACAAACTAGGTCAAAAGTGAGAGGAAATTGCTTCAAAAAATTTATTATGTTCTTCTAAAAAACAAACAAACAACCAAAAAGCAAAAACCCAGAGTAAGAATCTAATATAAAAGCTTCACAGTACATTGCCTGAGATACAGACCTACTCTTGAGATACAAGCTACTCTTGAACCTGGAGCAGGAGTATGACAATTTCAAAGTTAACCTGGGCTAGTTCAAGTCTAACATTTTATATATATAATAAAGCAACAGATAGGGTTGAGGGATTGAGCACTTGTCTAGAATGTGCAAGGCACTAGATCTCATACTCATGGATAATGTATAATATTCATGGATAATAATGACAAAACAATAACTTTTAGTGTGCATAAGGCACCCAAACATTTTCTAGCATAAATTTTTAATTAATTAATTAATTAATTCACTTTACATCCTGATCATAGCCCTTTTCTTCTCTACTCTCACTCCCACCCTCCCTCCCATTTCCCTCTATCTCCCTCCCCTACTCCTCAGTGGGGAGGGAGCCCACCCTCCCCACTAACCCACCACAGCACTTCAAATTGCATCAAGGCTGAGCACATCCTCTTCCTCTGTGGCCTGTGAGGCAGCCCCGACAGAGGGAACTGATCAAAAAGCAGACAACAGAGTTTGTGTCAGAGACAGCTCCTGTTTCCCATACTAAAGAACCCATAGAAAGACGAAGCTGGCCAAAAATAGAACCATATTTGTCATCCCGTACAAAACCATTATAATTAAACTTAAAGAAAACCCTTTTTTTATTACTGCCATTGTTTAAAACACTGCCAAGCACCTTCATATTATCTAGCAACTGATAATGTAAAAAATAAATATCCACAAAGTGTTTAAGACAAGTAACTTGAAAACGTTGGACAAAATTAATTTGACCTTAAAAAAATTTAGACAATTACTTTTCTAATAGGTCAGATAATTTCAAAGGGATATTCAACTGTGGAGGAGGTGAACTTCACATGCCCATGTGGCTGATACAGGAAGGGCACTCATATCAACTGCACTTACCACACTACCCCTGCCTGCAGAGCAGAAGACACAGTGATGGCTTTATCCAGGTCCTTTGTGAAGACTCCTGCTGCTAGGCCGTACGTAGTATTGTTGGCTCTCTTGATCACATCATCCATGGACTTAAACTTCAGGATCTGTTGCACTGGTCCAAATATCTACCCCGAGTGACACAAAAATGGTTTAACTGTATTATTTTAAACACAATGCAGATGTTTCCCTAGAAACCATTGTGCGTTGGCTTAGGTGCTGTCTCTCATCTCAGACTTATTGGTAAGAATAAAAACAGGTGGTCATAGACAGTGAACAACAACAACAAAAAGTTTGTGATGATGTGTGACATTCTCTGTGGAGCAGATACCGATTATTCTGACAGCATTTATTCTTGGATCTTGTGAAAGAGCTGAAGATCAGATCACTAACTGAATGATTTCCTTGGAAACATTTTAAACTTTAAGCCTAGTTTTCTTCATTGTTCAAGTTACTGCACAAGACCGCTAGACCAAGAAGCAGTCCTTTGTTCTAAAAGTAACAAATAGACAGTGATTAAGAACTATGTTTATTCTTTAAACATCGGTATACCTTTGGTTTGAATAATAGCCCATTCTGCTGGATTTGGATAATTTCATAATTGTAAATATTGCCCAACATACCACAGATTGTTATTCCTTTTTGTCACCCAATTCTGTACACCCTTCCCAAACAAAATGACTCATTACTAGAGACCTAACTCTGGAACCATCCCACATTAATCAAAGCCTGGGGTCCCCGGCAGTGGCTATTATCTTAGTGGATTATTCCAGTATGAGACAGTTTTTCATTTCTGCTGGAATCTAGTCTGGAAAGCCTCCACACATACCTCAATATTTCACTCTATATGTAAGAAGAAACAACTGGGTTTTCTCATAGATATTAAACTCCTGTACTTTGGTGCTTATCAAAATTAAATAAAAGAGGGTTTTCTTGGGATGTCAGCATATTTTCCTGGGGAATGTGAAAATGTTTAACAAAAAATTTAGAGGTGTCAAATGGTTTTCTGGTTCCAAGTCTCTTTCAGTGGTATGGGGCCGTTAGCGATCACTGCATTCAGGCTGGGGGCAGATCCTGGGGTTCTAAACTTCCTCAAGACCCTGTAACTGGGGAGCATAACAACGAGAACATTGTAAATGGGAAGCAGGTGTGCCAAAAATGTCAGCAGATTTGTTCAGGGTTGCATGAACTCGTCTGACACAGTGTGGACTCCAGGCTCCTATTCTGAAGCAGCAAATGAGATATTCTAGTGAGGGCATTATAGGAGCAGAAAAAAAGTTCCCTTGAATGAAGATCATTGTCTGCTTTATTGTCTTTCCTATCCATGTTAATAAAGGTCTACAAGAACAATAGCTCTAATCAAAGGGAAATGGCCAATAAGAACAGAAATTTAAATGAAGTTGAGGGGTGAATTGATGCAGACAACCTAAATATGTTGGATGATCCATATTTATGAATTTCATTTCTGTTCTTTATATTTACTTCATCTCCTTGCAAAGCTAAATATTATGGAAGTAAAGAAAATAACCTCTCAGGTCCTCTGTCATATCAGGGATATGAGTATAAATTCATTGAATGGGGAAATTATGATTCAGTATAGTTGAGTCACTGTACGTCTTATCATGGGGTATCACATAACACTTCCATTATATCAAGCAAGTGCTCAAATCTCTGCATATAGTGAAAGCCTTCATAATCAAGATGTATGTTATTTACCATTTTAATCACAACTGAGTTTCTTTTAGTTATTATATGTTGTTTATTTGAGTACCATTTATTTGATACTACTTAGATTGAACCTCCCAGAAGTCACCTTTACTTCCTCTCTAAAGCCAGTCCACCCTAACTCTGTGATTTTCTTTTACTATATAATGCTTTTTGTATAACTGAAGTCATTCAGTATATGTTGTTTTATGTCTGGCATATATAATACAATGTGTGCACATTTATTCTTGTTTCGGGAAATTAATTGGGTCATTTTCCATTTGTTTAAGGCTGTGAGTAAAGCCCCTATAAACGCTGTGCACTTTGGTCTGTGCTTGTCAGAATTTTTTTATGGGCCTCTTGGATCCTTCGCTACTTAGCTTTGATCACCAACAACTTAAGACTGTATCATCAAACACTTCCTGGGAATGTTGGAAAAGGAGCTGAGGCTTTTAGAGGGACACACAGCTAACACACAGAAAGAACATGGGAATCAAAATAGAATTATGCTGAAATATTACCTCCTCTTTGGCAATGCGCATCTCATCAGTGACATTGGAGAAGACTGTAGGCTGGACAAAGTAGCCTTTGTCGCCCCAGCGTCCACCACCACACTCCAGTTTGGCTCCTTCTTTCTTCCCACTCTCGATGAGATTAAGTATTTTATCATGTTGTTCCTTGTCAATCTAGTTGAAAAGAAGCCACAGGAAAAAGAAAAAGAAGTGAAGATGAGGCTTCTGACCTCCGGGATACTCTGTTAAGCTTGACATGTTGAAAGATGGGGCAGAGGTTCATTCTGCTCATTCTTGGGTGTGATTTTCTCTTTGAATTTTTAGGAAGGACAGCTAAAGAATTCATACACTTATTACAGCTACACAAGCACAGGAATTGACAATGTGGAAAGGAGACCAAGGGGATTCAGTTAGGAAAGGAAGAAGTCAAAATATCACTATTTGCAGATGATATGATAGTATACATGAGTGACCCCAAAACTCTACCAGGAAACTCCTACAGCTGATAAACACCTTCAGCAAAGTGGATACAAAATTAACTCAAAAAAATCAGTAGCCCTTCTGTATACAGAAACAAAAGGTCTGAGAAAGAAATTAGGGAAACAACACCCTTTACAATAGCCACAAAGGACATAAAGTACCTTGGTGTAACTCTAACCAAGCAAGTCAAAGACTTGTATGAAAAAATTTTCAGCCTCCGAAGAAGGAAATAGAAAAAGATATTAGAAGATGGAAAGACATCTCATGCTCATGGCTTGGCAGGATTAACAGTAAAAATGGCCATCTTACCGAAAGCAATCTACAGATTCAATGCAGTTCCCATCAAATTACCAACACAATTCTTTACAGACCTTGAAAGAAAAATTCTAAACTTCATATGGAATAACAAGAAACCAGAATCACTAAAGCAATCCTCTACAATAAAAGATCTTCTGGAGGTATCTCCATCCCTGATCTCAAGCTGTATTATAGAGTAACAATAATAAAAACTGCATGGTACTGTCATAGAAGCAGAATGGTGGATCGATGGAATTGAATAGAAGACCCAGAAACAAACCAACACACTATGGACACCTGATCTTTGACAAAGTTGCCAAAGCCATACAATGGAAAAAAGATAGCATCTTCAACAAATGGTGCTGGTCTAACTGGATGTCCACATGTAGAAAAATGCAAATAGACCCATACTTATCACCCTGCACAAAACTAAAATCCAAGTGGATAAAAAACCTCAATATAAAACCAGACACACCTGTTAGAAGAAAAAGTAGGGAAGAGCCTGGAACTCATTGGCACAGGAGACAACTTCCTGAACAGAACACCAACAGCACAGGCTCTAAGATCAACAATCAATAAATGGAACCTCATGAAACTGAAATGCTTCTGTAAAGCAAAGGATGCTGTCATCAGAACAAAACAACAGCCTACAGATTGAGAAAGAATCTTCACCAACCCTATATCTGACAGAGGGCTAATATCAATAAAGAATTAAAGAAGTTAAAAAGCAACAAATAAAGTAATCCAATTAAAAAATGGAGTACGGAACTAAACAAAGAATTCTTTGTAGAGGAATATAGAGTGTGAATCTTCTTATTTCTTAGAGTTTATTTGTTGAAAAATTAACATAAACCAAAAAGACACAAGCTCATACGTAGAAACCACACATTCCTACGTAGAAACCAGAGCTCAACAAGAACATTGAGAATAGACATGTAAATATCTTATTTCTAGGAAGAGAATGTCTATGTCTATACCATTATATAAAAGGTATCATGTATTACTCTGTATAACTGCTATCATTTATAGAGACATTTAATTGATATTTATGACTGCACAGTGAGGTAAGTGTTGGGCTAGTTGTATCACACAGTTTATCTCACTTCACCATATGGAGAATGAAAATTGATACTACCATTCCTATTTAATTGGCAAGGAAAGTTTATATTTTTTGAAATGAAAATACTGATCACTTTAAACTTTGTATATATTTGGGTCCACAAAGACAAATACAAATATTACTTTATAAGTAAAAAATTATGTGTATGTAGATATTCATATATAAAACACTATGACTATTAATATATCATACATATGATATGTAAATATTATATATACAATGTAATGTAATTTGTTCTAAAACTGAAATGCCTTAAGTTTGTCATTTTTAAAATAAGAAGAAAATAAACACTGTAAAAGATTTTTCCTAAACAAATGTACTTGGCCTTAATTTCATATATAATTATTTTTATTGTGTTATTTATAGATCCCTAAACTCTGTTTAAGAAGTCTTCGTGAATTAACCAGTGAGGTTGAAGCACTAGGAAAAATTTAGCCAATATTTATCTCTTCTCATAAGATATTTCTTATGAGAACAAAAAAATTAAAGCAAGGGTAGAGGAGATTGGGTCTCATCAAGCTTCTGCTTCTAAGATTCCAACATGTGTGCCTGCTTTTACTCAGAGCAACATATCTTAATGCACTTGCAGAAACCAAAGCTATGCAACAGTCAATTAGAATATGGGATTGTTTACTTTAAAATCTTATGATTCAGAATGTTTAAATTCTGCTTTAATTTAGCCTATAAATAATACAGGCATTGCTACTCAATTGAAGTCTGTGAATGAATAACACAGACCCCTTGATGAAAGAAAATGACTATTGTTCAGTGTGAAAGGGTTCATATAATCTCTGCTTCTCTACCCTTTGTCATCTAAATATACACCGATCCTTTTTCTATCTATTACCTATCACTCATCTATCTACATATCATATATACTTACCTATGCATCTAATGATAAAAATGTTTTATATTCAGATAGTAGATCAATTATACTTAGAAAAAATGATCATGACTATTAAGGATTACATCTTTTTTTTACTACTAGATCAACTCAGATAAGGATTTAATAATTAGAAAATATAAAAATCGACAACCATTTTTATATACTCATTGAGTTCAATGATTTAAAAAATGTGGGATTGAGACAATGCAAATAATTCTGTCACTTGTCAGATATCTTGGGGTACTATTTTAGTCCTATGTATTTCCTGCATAGGTACTTTGGCTAAGAAGAAAGCTCCAAGAACCTCTTTCAAGTTACCTATGTGGGAAATTCCAAGATGCCACTGGCTTCTCTTTGGGATTCATGGCTTTGTCAAGTTCCTCTCTCAGGGTATTGCTGGTAGCAATGTCACCTAAATTTTTACTAATTGAATTTGGTTTACACTTATTAAATAATTCAAGAATGAGGTTTGGTTCCAAATAACCAATAAGGTACAGTGTATCATATTTGATGTGAAGGAATGATGTCTTCAAGGTCAATGTCCTGTTTCTAGAGCACAGCTTTCCGGAGGGGCTCTACTAGCATTTGGGGACAACAAGCTCCTGGATATGAGGTTTTCTTATTCACTGTTGGGTGTTCAGCAACATCCCTTCCTCTGTTCACTAGATGCATGTGGACCCACACCTCCCACCTTGCTATAACAACTGAAATATCTCCAGACATGGTCAATGTCCCTTATGGGGCGGAAGGCGCGGCCTCAGATTGAAGGTCACTGTTTTAGAGAGGGATCCAGAGGGAGGAGTGAACTCAGAATCAAAGGTCCTAAATCTTGAACAACAGACCATAACAGAGCGTGAACAAAAGCTGTGCAAGAGGAAAAGTTGATTTTTGAGTGAGAGACAAAGGCATTCATATTTACAGTAGATCTAATGACACAGAAAAATACTCAGAACCCTTGAAGAGTGGCTAGCTTTTTATTACAAAAGGGAGAAGTTTGTCAAAAATTTGCCAGAAACCAGAATTTTCTAGGATCACTTTTGATATTACATCAGAGAGACTGAGGGCCTGCAGATGACTGAGGAGTGTTCTACTGCTTCTGTTTTTAGAATGGCAGCTGAGGTGAAAGACTGACTATGAGGGAGAAACGAGAGAAACGTATACAAATTTCCAACAGTTCTAAGACACCTAATGTCTTTTAGTATTATTTTCTATTACTACTCTAGATAAGCTGTGTCTCTAAACACAGAACTTACGAGTTTTGCTATTTTGGTTAGTCACCTTGGAAAATACCTGCCTTCTCTCTTGAAATTTGGGTTTAAACTTTGGCTACCAAACACAAGGTAAGTGCTTTTCCACTGGGACATCGCCTCAGACAATTCCATCTGTAATTTCATGTACAGTTCCTAAACTATTTCTAGACATATAAAAATTTGGTCAACCCAAAACAGAATGACTTCTTTTCTATTGGGAATTAGACTCTATATAATGAGATCAGGGTAATAATATCCACCAGCAATGTGCATAGTTAAGAGGTAAAACTAACTCTGTTAGTTCTAAGTAGGATTCCTTATTCTTGAGGTGGAAATGCTTGTCTTTTTTATTGTATACTTGCCTGAGGGCCTTGATTTATTCCCGAGTTCAGAGGATTTCCAAGAATGTATTTCTTAGCTCGTTCAACACTCCTTTTCACAAACTCATCATAAACTGACTCCTCCACAAAGATCCGAGATGGTGCGACACAACATTGGCCTTGATGGTAGAATACTCCATGGTGTGCAAACTCAACAGCAGTATCCACTGCGAAGGAAACGTTTTCATTAGTGAAGAAATATTTTCTAAAGCATACATGTATATGCTGCGGCCATGTCTGTCCACATGTGCTCACAGTCAGGAGGATGCACACGCGCACACTCAAACACAAAAACCCACCCATATCTAGATCAAAACAGATCTTTAGAATCTATTTTTTCCTCATATGAAAATGGTGATATGGTAAAAAGAAGAATCATCAAACAGGCATAGATACAACATATTCCACCTCTTAGAAGCCAGGTAACAAAATAATCTTTGTGATCTTCTTATTTACAATGAAATAATAACAACAAAAGGAATCTGGAAAGAGGGGCTGGTGCAACTTAACACAGACCTTATTAAGAATGTAGATTTGATTATAAGAACAAAGAGCAATATAAATCATTTTTTATTTCTTTTTTTTTAAAAATCAAGATGTTTATGCCTGTTTGTACATTCAGATTTCAACTAGATAAAAAACCAAAATCTGAACTACCTATTGCCTTAAATGACTTAAAGACATTCATATGCTTTGATCAATTTTGAGAAAATTTATCTTTTTGAAAATAACAACAAACCTATTTGTATTAAGAGTCATCATTGACCATATGAATATTACTCCAAGTAAAACACTTCCAGAATCTATCTAAAGGCTATGCCATACATGCCTGTAAATCCATTCCTTAGTTTATGTAGTACAGTGTGCCTATAGTTTTTATTAGAATATTGTTGATTCTAATGCAAAGAAAGTTGTGTGTGTGTGTGCGTGAGAGACAGAGAATGAGACAGAGACAGAAAGAGACAGAGACAGAAAGAGACAGAGAGGGGAGAGAATTTTTTAAATGGGGAAGATAGAAAATTCTATTCAATATTGTAGAAATGGGCATCAATCTGCAAGTCAATCTTAGCTGCTTCAGTTGTAGTGGGGAGAGCTGCCAAGTGATAAACTAGGGAAATTACCATGTGTTGACTGCTAACCAGGAAGTAAGTTCTAAAATTTCCAGTAAGGATCACAACAGTGACAACAGCAAATTCCACGTACCATTTGTGTTTATAGTCTCTTAATTATGCAACTATTGAAGGAAGAGGAAAAGGAATGCTTGACAGTGAATTTCCATGAAATTAATCCTATATAGAAAGTAACCTGAGATTTCATTTGTCAGTAAAATCAGAATGATATAAAATATTATGGATGGGTGTCCAATCCAAATGATAAATTAACATATTGAAACTTCACTAAAATAGTTGAAAAAATGAGAAATTATTCAAAAAAGGTCTAATATTATTCTGGCTATCCATGTAGACAGAGTGAAAGCAGAAACAAAATATGAAACTGCTGACAGCCAGGATCTTCTTGGCTCCAAATGTCTCAATTATTTCATGTACTCAACACAACTAAAGATAGAATTATCAAAAACAGGTTATAGATCCTAGATGGAGACCATTTATACTGTCTCAGATTAACACTAGGAAATAGCAATCTATTCCAATCCAGGACAAAATCTTGTCTGATTTATCAACATTATTGAAAAATGTAAAAGCTTTCCAGAATCACCATAGACTCTAGTTAATTCCTTTCACCCTGAAGCAAAGTCACTTGCCAGACTCCAGGTGACTGTGCGACATCATCAGGCATCAGGAGGGAGAAGGTGAGATGGTAACAAAGGGTTTGTACTCACAGTCAGCATCCGCAAACACAATGCAAGGGCTCTTTCCCCCAAGCTCCAGGGTGACCCTCTTCAGATTGCTTTTTCCTGCAGCTTCCTTGATTAATTTGCCAACCTGAAGTCAAACATTACAAATGAGGAGGCTCAGTGTGTTCTCATGTAGATAGGTTCATTTAATACTTTCAATTGATAGGACATTTGTGCTAACATTTAATTTTATTTGGAAGAAACATTAAATGGTATGTTCAATATCTGGCACCTTCAGGTGTAAGGCCTCCCTCCATCATCAAGCCTGCAAAGGCAAGATCAATCAGACAATGCTCATGCACAGGAGAGCAGACAGTGCAACTGTCAGGCATGACTTCATGTGTGGGCAGACAAGAGCTTGTTTCTCATTTTCATTAGAACTTCCTCTCTGCATTTGATCAGAAATGCCCCCAATACCTCACGTATTGACTTCTTATCCCTCTAGTGACATTTAGAGAACTCTGTACTTTCTGTATTTGGGCTCATCTTTTAGCACAGGTCCCCCTTAAGCCCTTCTCTAATGACTCTTGATGGACATGGTACTTTTTCCCTGGTCTCCAGAAGAAGGACATGACAACACATTTGGAATCCCCAAAATGGTATCCTACATATCTGCAAAACCTTTCCCAAGAGCCTCTAGTTCTCTCCTTCCCTGTGTGCTTATCACGGTCTGTTCACTGTAGGTGGATCTTGATAGCCCTTCCCCATTCCTATCTCCTTGGCAATGTGCTTCTGTTTCTCCTACATATGCCACTGCACAGTGGATATTGAAGAAAGACACTGCCTCTGAGCTCTGTGTTCTCCTTGCCCTTAGCTAGAATCCACTAGAAATCCACTAGAAATTCTAGTTTCTCCTTGAGTTCTAGTTCCTTCATATAAAGGAAGATGTGGCTTTTATTTCATTTTACTTTCTCTTTTTTGGATCCCTTCAACTGGAGGTTATTTTCTAAACAATGGTTCTTGTTTTCCATTTCTAAATTCAGCTTTTATAATGACCTGTACTTCACTGTGTATACTAAGACTACATTCTATGGAAGAGATCTTTCCCTTGTTGTCTAGAGATGCCCAATATATTTTGCTTCTCTAATCCTCTGGGTTTCTTGTGCTGTTCTACCTATTAGATTTTAATAAAAAGTTTCTCTTGCATCCAAGTGTTGAGATAATGTCTATGTGGATATTGCATTGTTATTTTGCATTACAGAAAAGATAATCATTCTACTCAAGTTTTTATTTTATTAATTATTTCATTAGTCTAAATAAAAGTAATGAAAAATAGAAATAAACAATAAGCAGTCATGTCCTGCCTGAAATTTATCTTCCCTACCTGTCTTTCATACTACCATTTCCTTCCTTTTTGTCTTGTCTTTTATTTCTGACAGTGAATCACTGTATAGCTCAGTCTGGCTTCAAAGCCTGTGAGCCTTCTGCCTCACTTCCCAAGAAGGGGAAGCGGTGTGTGCTACCATGAGAAGACCCTGTAGTACAGTCTTTGCAGAATTTTCATTTAAGAAGTTTCTATTTTCTACATAACATGTTATCCTTTTGAGTTGCCCAATCAGATTAGCAGAAAAATTCTGCTAACATAGCTATCGTGTCTCTTGGTTAAGGGGGTAAGAGCAAAAGAAAATATCTTTTTTAAAATTTTATTTTATTTTATTAATTACACTTTATTCACTTTGTATCCCCCCATAAGCCCCTCCCTCCTCCCCTCCTGATCCCACCTTCCACCCCTTTTTTCACGCATGCCCCTCCCCAAGTCCACTGATAAGGGAGGTCCTCCTGTCCTTCCTTCTGATCTTAGTCTATCAGATCACATCAGAAGTGGTTGCCTTGTCATCTTCTGTGGCCTAGTTAGGCTGCTCCCCCCTCAGGGGGAGGTGATCAAAGAGCAGGGTCAAATGAAAGGGGAGGAGGTCCTCCCCTATCAGTGGACTTGGAAAGGGGCAGGGAGGAGACCAGGGAGGGAGTGTGGGGTTGGGGAGGGAATGAGGGAGCAGGATACAGCTGGGACACAGAGTTAACAAAATGTAACTAATAAGAGAAATAAAAACTTTTAAATTAAAAAAAAAGATAGCAAATGGTGCTAGTCTAAGTGGATGTCTACATGTAGAAAAATGCAAATAGATCCATACTTATCATCCCGCACAAAACTAAAGTCCAAGTGGATCAAAGACCTCAACATAAAACCAGACACGTTAAATCAGTTAGAAGAAAAAGTGGGGGAAACCCTAGAATTCATTGGTACGGGAGACAACTTCCTGAACAGAACACCAACAGCACAGGCTCTTAGAGCAAAAATCAATAAATGAGACCTCATGAAACTGAAAAGCTTCTGTAAAGCAAAGGACACCATCATCAAAACAAAACGACTGCCTACAGATTGTGAAAGAATCTTCACCAACCCTTTATCTGACAGAGGGCTAATATCCAGTATATATAAAGAACTAAAAAGAAAATATCTTAAGCTACACGTGGCAAAAGAATAATTATGAAAGCAGGTTAGAAATGTGAGTGAGGAATAAAGATATATATACATATACACACACACACACACACATATATATGTATATATATATTTATATATATCATATTCAGGTAGACAATATTAAGATTGCTTGAATTTTCTTAGAAAATAAGCAAGCTATATTTTTATTTATTTTTAATTTTTTTTCTTATCAGTTACATTTTATTAACTCTGTATCCCAGCCGTGTCCCGTTCCCTCATTCCCTCCCAATCCCACCCTCCCTCCTTCATCTCCACCCTGCCCCTTTCCAAGTCCACTGATTGGGGAGGACCTCATCCCCTTTCATCTGACCCTGTTTTATCAGGCATCTTCAGGACTGGCTGCAAAGCTCTCCTCTGTGGCCTAACAGGACTGCTCCTCCCTTGGGGGGTGGGGAGGCCAAAGAGCCAGTCATTGAGTTCCTGTTAGAAACAGTCCTTGTTCCCCTCACTATGGGAAACCAATTGGTTACTGAGCTACCACGGGCTATATCCAAGCAGAGGTTCTAGGTTATATCCATACATGGTCCTTGGTTGAATGTCAGTCTCAGAAAAGACCCTGTGCCCAGATATATTTGGTCCTTGTGGAGCGCCTATCCTTTCCCCATCATACTAACTCCCCTTCTTTCATATGATTCCCTGTACTCTGCTAAAGGTTTGGTCATGAGTCTTTGTATCTGCTTTGAAAACACTGCTAGTTAGAGTCTTTCAGATGCGCTCAGGAGACTCCTGTCATAGTTCAATGCACATCCTATCTGTCTTTCTAAACGAGGATTGATCATCTTACCCCATGTCTGCTCTCTTGATTATCTTTTATAGGTGTATAGATTTCATTATGTTTATCATATCTTATAGGTCTATATAAGTGAGTATATACCGTGTTTGTCTTTCTCCTTCTGGGATATTTCACTCAGGATGACCTTTTCTAGATCCCACCATTTGCCTGCAAATTTCATGATTTCCTCCTTTTTGATTGCTGAGTAGTATTCCATTGTGTAAAAATACCACAATTTCTGTACCCATTCCTCCGTTGATGGACATCTGGGTTGTTTCCAGGTTCTGGCTATTACAAATAAAGCTGCTATAAACATGGTTGAGCAAGTATCCCTTTCGTGTACTTGAGCAAAGTTTGGGTATATGCCTAGCAGTGGTATAGCTGGGTCTTGAGGAAGCACTATTCCTAATTGTCTTAGAAAGCGCCAGATAGATTTCCAGAGTGGTTGTACCAGTTTACATTCCCACCAGCAGTGGAGGAGGGTTCCCCTTTCTCCACAACCTCTCCAGCAAGAGCTAAACAGAATTCTCTGTAGAGGAATATCGAATGGCAGATAAACACTTAAAGAAATGCTCAACCTCATTAGCCATCAGGGAAATGCAAATCAAAACGACCCCTGAGATATCACCTTATACCCATCAGAATGGCGAAGATGAAAAACTCAAGTGACAACACATGCAAGCTATTTTTATACTAATTTACTTCCTATACTTTGGTAAAGTAAAATGTTATTTTACCAAAGAGAAAACTGTTAATTTTCTTTTTGCATTCTTTGTGAAGCAGAGGTGACCAGTGTTTGGGAAAATATGTCTTTACAGTGTGGGGCTACAGTTCTATTCTAAATGGATTTTTAAAAAAAACTCTTAATCTCTAAATTACATTAAAATTTATATTAGACAGTGTTCACTGTTGTGACCATGAGAGATTCAATCTATCATTTGCCTCTGGATTGAAAATGGTTCAGGACCTTTAAGATAAATCAGGTAACAAAAGTTGAGAAAAAAAGAATATAGAAGTTCTCACAGTGCATTTGTGTTGGAGTAATGCTATGTCTCCCTCATCGTGGCTTCTAAAATCATGTTATTATCATGTGTTACTTGGGAGTAGTACACCATTGTGTGGCTATCTCCAAACAGATGAGTCTTTGAGACTAGCCAGGCAAGAGAAAGAGATAATCCACAAGGACACACATGCTCATGATTATGAATCTCAGACAGTGGGAACACAGGTGGAAACATTGTTTATTTCACGATTTTCTTAGAACTTCAGAGAGAAGCACCAAGGCAGTGTGGGAACATTGGGGGGGGGTCAGGTGGAAAGAGCCAATGTCCACTTATAAACCAAAACCTGGGAAAATGAAAGATAGTGACTAAGGCCACTTACTGAGTTCTCAAAAGGGCGCTAAATATCTTAATCTACTGGTTCTTACTTTTTTATTATGTAAAATTGAGTAAAACAGATATTAAGAAATAATATCAAATAAAGAAAACTCAAATTTGGCAAAGATAGTTAACATTTTTAGAGGCATAGAACTTAGGAAGCAAGATTGGAATTTGAGCCCACATGTTGCCTGATCTTTAATTTTCATTTTTTTGGGGGGGGCATATAAAAAGACCTCATATAGTGCAGGCCTCAGGGTCAGCTAAGATTGTTGAACACTCATGCTGCTGCTAGGATCAGGACCAAAAGCCTCCAGCTCAAATGGACTGGAGAAATGAGCATAGGTTTTGAATCCAGAAATACTCATTGATTCCCTGTTCAGTGTGTCGGAGGGTTGGGGGGCATGCCTTAGACATCCTCCCATCTTCTTTTTTTTCCCCACAGGAAATCCTGAATACAGGTTTATTGTTTATTTTTTATTATATCTCAGTCAAATATTTTTCACCATGTATTATTTTTCTACTGACCATGAAAAACAAAGAAAATATGTTTTAGAAGGTCAAGAATGGAATAAAATTGGATTTAATCTTTTTTTCAGTTCAATTCTGTGAAGGTTAATAAAATATTAAAGCAGCTTGCTGTGATTATCAGAAAATAAATGTGACCTCAACTCATTATGAAGAATGTTTTTCTTGTTTCTCAGCCCTCAAATAGTTAAAACCATTCAACAATACCTTCAGCAAGTTCCAGCATCCATCTAGCCTCAGATGAGTTTTCCTTCCCTTGATCTCCTAACGTACCTGATGACTGTCTCCATCCTATTTACTTCTTTCAGATGTTGGCAGCTTACTTTTTACACATGTCAAAGAGGGAGGCAGTATCTTTTCGGTTGAATAGCTAATATCATGATAGCCAAGTAGAGTGACTGAAACATAGCTTTGCCTGAAATAGCGTAAGTTCTGGATATTTTGTTTATAATAGATATTTATGAAATATCCAGAATTATATCTTCCAAGCCTATTTCTCCCCTCTACCTGTCCCTTCCTCTAATTCATGTTTATGGGGTGATTCCTGTTTTTCATCTTTGTGTCTATCCACGGTTAAGCCAGAAAACTGAAACTCTCCAGAAGAAACATGGAAAGAAGCAGAAATCATCTTTCTTTCAAGGCATGCTGATTAGGCAGTCTCAAATAAGATGCTAAGGGTGAGCCTCTGTTATTTAATGTTCTGAATATAGAGGTTGTGTTTACATTCATTCACATAAACCACTGTGGTCTAATTCATATTTCTACCATACACATTTCCAGTCATGTGACAGGCTCAAGGGTTAAATTTCTAAGAGATGGTAATAAACATATTGAAAAGAATGTTATCTTTCTGAATTAGCAATAGGCAATTTTTCTTATCCTAAATTCCTACACTTGTGCTTGATAAACCTAATTCAAGGATAGAATAAGTAACAATTCATGGAAGCCACTTTCATTTTAAAGCGTGTTGGCTAAGAAATAGCTGAAGAGAGCATGCTTGTTCTTGCAGGAGATTAGACAATCAGAGATAGGCTCTACCTCTGTTGATCCCGTGAAGGCCACTTTGTCGATGTCCATGTGAGAGGAGATGGCTGCCCCTGCAGTCGGCCCGTAACCGGGGACAATGTTCACCACGCCAGGAGGAAACCCCGCCTACAAGCAGTCAACAGACCAAGAATTTAATTCACAAGAGAGTGGGGTACAGGATTGGAGCACTTTTCTTATTTCAACATTATAAGTTTTTTTTTTTTTAACCGAGAAAATTTACTTTAGTATTTATTCTTTATTTTTACAATTTCTTTTCTTCGTCCATATGAAAATGTACTCAAAGGTGATAGTATTGAGAAATACTTTCTTCCAAAACCAAATATTTCATCAGTGGATCATAGTTCCAATTATTAGCTGTGCCAAATGTCAAAAGGGGGATCTCATTGAAGTAGGATCCAGCAAAATATAATAAAGTATATAGACAGCAAAGCTGAAAATCTAGAGGTCAAGTGTTCAGTATTTTACTGTTGACGTTTTAGGAAGGGCAGCTAAGTTACAAATCCCTAGAGGCACTGTTTGATCAGTAAAACATTACATAGGCAAAGCCTCTCTTTACTTTATGAAAGTGAAAGAATGATTCCTATCCTACCAAAAGCATCAAGGACAGAACTACCAGCTTAATGGACATATTAACATTTCATTGCATTTGAATCAAAATGCCTCATTTTGACAAATTTTTGTCCATATTAATTTGAAATGAAAAATACCTTAAAGATATAGTTTTACATTTCAAAACTCTAAGTTGCCCTTTTAAGTTTTTGGTGTAATATTTGGACAAAACACCAGTTGTTTTAAAAAGGTGAAATCACATTTTGCTTATCTACGTAAAAGTGTCATGTACTCTGCACTTTACAGGACCAAAAATAAAGATGAAGCTATAAAAGACAAATGAATATGAACAACTGTATATATTCTTTGCAGTATATGACCCAATATTACAGCAAGCAGATTATCCCAATAGCTTCCAGATTTCAGCCGTATTAAAACTAAAACAACAGAAGGAGTTTATAGAAGCAGCCAGGCCGGTTATAATGGCAACAGTGTTAACAAGTATATTAGCATTTGAAAGAATGCTGCATTTCCTCCTTAATTATGCTCATAAGATATGAACAATATAAGTAACAGGTTACAAGGTGACTGCCTGTAAGCCTCTGATTTGTGTGGACACGCATTTGTGCTGACAGAAGGCCCAGCTGACATCTCTGCTCTTGTCTTCTGCATGACCGGGCAGGAGCCACGTATGAACAGCGAAGCTCACAGTCCATGTGAATGAGGCTTATGAGGAATCCTGAATTAGCCTGCGTATGTAGACCGTGGAACTTACCTCTTTTATCAAAGATGCCATATGAAGAGCAGTGAGAGGAGTTTGCTCTGCTGGTTTGACAACCACTGTGTTCCCACAGCTAAGGGCAGGCGCTATCTTCCAAATGAGCATAAGCATTGGGAAATTCCACTAGAAAGCAAGGTTGAACAATAGATTTTTTACATTGCCTCAATCCTCAGTTTCTATAACAACCTGCCTTGGAAGACGTTGAATAAAAACTTATAAGATCTGTCTACATATCTGATGCATCTCACTTAGGATTATTGCTAAAAGCAGCTAGTAAAGGATAAATGTTCTAAACTAACCATAGAGAAGGGAACAGAAAAAGACTCCCAAATTTAATCATGTCCTGTTATTTTGAATTCTTATTCTACAAGAAAGACATTATTTGATATTTTTGTGTAATTAAGCATGTCAAATAAAAGATAAAATAACTGATAGAAGATATGACATTCTCTTCCTATATTTTCCTAGAGACCAGTTATTAAATTTACCTAATTTTAATACCTTTTGGTATATTTAATGTTTAGGAGACTTAGTTTTTACTTCTTGGATCCTGCAGACTGAAACCAAGCAACGGATATGTTGAATTTGTTTTCCACAACAGAGAGCTAGGCTCAGCCCAGGACAAACAATATTGTTAAAAGCAAAGGAAGTTCACACTCAAGAGGGTGAATGCTTGAATTTCAGATCCCTGAAAACCTATTGGCCAATTGTAAAAAGTAAGGTATATGACTGATTCTCTACTTAGGCATTCCCTATCTGTGAGTCTGAAAACATTCCTCTCTACCCTAGATGGATGTCCTCAGAACTGATGGAGAAACTCAAGGCTGGGATATAGGTCACATCTGCCTACCATGTGTGAGTCGCAGGTTTAGATCCCCAGAACAATAGAACAAAACAGGGGAAACTAATGTTTAAACTTATTGAATACTACTATCTGGTCGAGTAATGTAGATATGTTTGCGTGTTTTTAAGCCTTTGAAGTAATGAACACTTCCATTAAATACATTGATACATTCAGTCTCATTAAACAAGAGTCACTGTCATTCCAAACCCTCAGAACACATCACTATATTTTCCTTTAGCCTTTTAAATTATGTTAGCTGTATCTGGCCAGTGTCCGGTATGTTAGAGGAAATCTGGTTCCATCCAGAGCATGGATGAAAGAATTCTTCTGACAGAAGAATTTTGAATACCCCACCCTGCCTATCCACAGGTAGAGTACAGGCCACAAACTTCTCCAGTTGTCACAGAGATGATTACTTCCACATAAATCAAAAGGTATTTTCTAGGATTTGGACAGTATTGCTGCTGCTGCTGTCCATGGGGAGGAGTCTCAAGGAGAAGACAGAAGTGAAAAGGGTGGCAAGGCCTGCTGTGTTCACTGAAGTGGAGTCACGGCACAGATGAGCCATAACGAACCTTTGTCATACACCTATACAGTACAGCTCATGAACGCAGAACAGAGAACGATTTCAAAAACCACCCATGCAGTCAACACTTAGGGCTTTTGTGGTAATGACGAAATGGTGTCAAAGGCTACAGAGGTACATGAAGGGGTTTCTGGACCAGCTAGCTCATAGTCAAGAAGCTCAGTTATAGGACAGTGAGCTTCAGGCAGTCATGCTTGTTGAGTTTACTTCACACACAGGCATCACATCAGCTTCACTTGTGTGGGGATGGGATTCATCACCAGATCACTGGAATTAGATCTTTATTTCTGTCATTGAGAGTCACGATGGAGAACTTACAGGGATGATCTGGCCACACACTCCAATAGGTTCACGTCTTGTGTAAGTGAAAATGTCTCCATCTGGAAAACAGAGCAGACATATCACTCATTAAAGGCAAATTGGCTGTGCAGGCATGGCAGGGTGATGTGTGGTTGATATGAAAGGAGCAGCACAGTCAGTAGCAAAAGGGGAACAAAAGATCTATCTACAAGGTTAATACCATTAACAATGGAGCCCACAATTTGAATCTAAAGATGAATCTAAGTGACAAGAGGGGGAAAGATCTGATAGGCAGTTAGCTCCATTTCTTGTATTCAAAATGGCTGCCTTCTACATCATCTGTTCACAGAGTGGTGCAGAAAGGAGCCAGGAGGTGAGATCCCCTCTGGGTAAGGGCTCAACCATGTGCAAATGTTTCCAAAATCTTATATTTCCCAAGAGCGTGAACCTTTAAAATGGTAAGTGATTTAAAATAGTAAAAATGTAAAGGCTTTCTACTGACTTGAAATTGTTGGTGTTTTTCTTTGTTTGTTTACCTACCAAACATAAATGGAATGTTTATTATCTAAGAAAACAAATAAAATACAAACTACAAACAGACAAAAACATGTCTGATATGAAACACGATTCTTTTATACCTGGATTTGGCCAACTCCTGTGCTTACTTTGATATGGTTTTTCTGGGAATTTTGTTGTTCTGTGTTTTGTTCTGGCTTCCACAGGAGCCTACTGCTACCATAACAAGTGCTTTTTCTGTCAAGACCCACAGGTTACATTAAACAGCTTCATGTATGTTTCCTAAGAGTAGAGTAAGAGCCAAAAAACAGCCCTGTTCGTGGTAGCCCTGTTGTCTCCTTCTGATCTTCTAACTTCCTGATAACCCATCCCTCAACCACTTAGATTAGAAGTATATATCAGGGACAAAACTGGAAGTAGATTATTTGAGTTCCTGACATCATTACTATTACAGACATGAAACTCAGCCTCTACTACATTCCCGAATTAATTCTTTCTTCACTTGAAATATTTTTCATGCGTCTGTTGTGATACATACACACTCAACTACTTGTACAAACACTTCCATACAAACTTCATAAGTCAGTTACTATGAATAGTGTCCTCTTACTTTTCAGATTTTGAAACACATTAATATAAATTAGTTTGTTCTGATTACACTAAATTTAAAGGGTCCCTGAGTAGCATACTTGCCTCTCTCTGGACCATATGCTTAAACAACTTATATTGTAGGAAGAACATAAATGTTGTTATGGAAATGAAGCTAACATAAGTAATTTCACTGTTCAGCTTTGAACATTTTGAGCTCTTAGACCCTCACTTGAATTTTAATTGAACGTATGATAATTTTCTTACCTTAATGCTCTCTATACTCTCCATAGTTTTATTTTCTGCATAATTAATGATTATACAAGTTTAAAAAATGTTGATCCTTAATACAACTTACTTCTGTAGAAATGTGTTTATTCAAGGTTAAGGAGAACATAAATTTTCTTATTGTTTGACACCTTTATCAAGATTTTAAGGTATCATCTCTGTAATGGTGGCCTTGCCTCTATCCCCATCCTCATTATGCTCAGTATACTTACCACTTGGTATTGTTTGTCCATGGATCTTGTCAGCCCATCCTGCACAGTACTTCAGTGCTTTAATGCAGCCTCCCATATCCCACAAGTATGCATTGGCAAAGATTTTCCCACCATTGATTGCCTCCATTGTCTGAAAAGCCAACACAAACCACAGTCAAGAATTCCAGCAAGAATAGTGGATTAAGAACATTGCTTGGTGGAGCTGAAGAGATGGCTCAGAGGGTAAGATTATGGTAAGGTTGCTGTTTGAGAATACCCAGTTCAATTCCCAGCACCCACGTGATAGCTTATAACCAACCATAATAACATGTGATATGCCTCCTTCTGCCCTCCGAGAGCAGCAGTCACACACACGGTGTGAACACACACATGGAAGGTAAACATTCATACGCATGAAGTGATTTAAAATAAAAAGGAAGGACCATATGCTCCTGTACATATGAGGAGCACAAATGGACACAGAAGTTTACTCATAAGAGTAAAAAGAGGATGCAAAGTAGGTGGTAGGTGGCATGGGGAGCAGTAGAAGGAGTTGGTACATAGTTCTGGGTGGATATGATCAGTGTCCATTTTATAAGTGTGTGGAAAGCTATAAGAATAAAAGACAAATTAAAAGTATATGTGGTCAATATTTCAATATGTAAGAGAGCTTTGTAATTGTAAGGAACCTCAGACCTTTTTGATTAGACTCCTCTTTTTAAAACAGGGTTGAAGATCTTGTTGATAGCCACATAGAAAGATCTTTGTACGGGAAATAGTAAGATTCTGGCTGTCTGGACTTTGAGCTCTTTCTGTCACAGTCTGAGTTCCTTCCAACAAAGAAATATCTAAGTATGAGGCACAGTGTCACAGGTACACAGCCATGAAAATGGCTCCCAGTCTCCTTGTCACATAAGACTTCCAACAGGATCGTACTTTGCCGTTCAACTCTAGAGATAATTTAGTGTATGCAACCATTCTCAATGCCTGAGTAATCATTGTCATATTCCTCCCAGATAGAAAGTCTGTTCATCCAAATGTAACTCCTACCTCCTTCACCATGGATTTTCCTCAGCAGTTTTCAATGACAACCCTGCTGTGTCGGTGACACAGGCAAAAGCATTTCAATAGTCACAGCGTAAAGTTTCCGACTTCCTGATCTGGTATTGTAGTGTCTTCCTTCCCTCCCTTCTCTTTTCATGCTGACTATAAAGGTCTACTTGTAGTTCTACATTCTATGAGGTGATGCTAATGCTCTTCTTCCTCCAATTTATATGTCCACTCCCCCAGAATCTACACCCTTTGATTTTGTATGTCTGTTCTTAGTTCTCTGTGACCTTTCAAGCTGACATGGGCAGTTAACACTTTTCATGCCACAGACAAGTGAGAGAAGCCAAGTTTTGGGAAACTGCTTTCTCTCTGCAGAACACTGAGGATGGTGTGGCTTTCTTGCAGCAGCTATTGATTTAATTTCTTTCCTATATTTAGAAAATTTCCATATATTTTTGAAAAGGGTGATTCTTTACAAATAATTGGCGATGCTCCAGGTAAACTGAAGATAGTAAGACATAGTTTGAAATCGACCTGGGGACCATGCTGTTTCCAGTTGGCTTTACTAGAACGCAGGACCCAGAAGACAAGAAAATGCATTCCCAAGCCATATTCTATACTGAGTTGTCTATCCACAGAAATGAAAAAGCACAGCACCCAAAACGGAAGGATGATTTTATTCGATATTAAACCCGAATTTTGTTTTGTTAATTCTTTTACACCTGTGAAAACAAAAAATGCCTCTCTTTCTCCTGACATTGTGCACAGACATCTGGCAGCAGAAGGAGCCATTGTAAAAAAAAAAAAAAAATTGGATCAAAATAATTCAGATTTATTCAGATTTATTTTAGAGCAATATTTTGACACTTTTAACAGACTCATGAACGTTCTCCTAAAGGACGTCAGGATGAGTAAGTTTGAGAAATCAAGGACATGGTTAGAGGAACATTGTTAAGGGCTCTAGGGAGTTCAAGAAAATAGGCAGGATGTCAGTGTGCTCTCTTGGCCAAACCGATTGGTCAGTCCAAACAGTGAATACTCCTGAGAGCCCTCCAGTGTATCCTGCTGTTGGTACTGGTTAATACTCACAGCCAGCAGTAGACGATCTCTTTCTATTAAGTCAGCCAGCTTGTTCAGCAGGCGCCCCCTCTCTGAAGCATCCATGGTGCGCCATGGGGAGCCAATCTGGAAGGCCTGTCGTGCAGCCTTCACGGCTTTGTCAACATCTGCCTGGAAATCACAGAACATTCAATTCAGGATATCCAAAACACTGGATGGACGAATGCAACATCACAACCAACCAGGACACTATAAACCTGTAGACTAGTCCTTACAAACAGAAGCTTGGTCTCCACTAGCCCAAAGTCCAGAACACTGCACTCCAGTGTGCTGGAATGATTTTTCTTGAGTAATATTTAGAATAAGCTCCATTGTCTATCAAATAGTTAAACTCCTAGAGTTGAGATACTATGTTTTAATATTTGTTACCTTAACTTATTGTAATGGGATGCCTAGTGTTCATTTGAAATAAAGTTCTAGTTAATTTATACATATTAGTTCATTTGATTCAGAAATAAAGGAGATGATCTCCTTTACCAAATTAGGGACTAAAGTACCAAATTTGGGCACACTCGCATTGTATCCAATTGGAGAGGAAGGCTTATTGTATACGTAGTATATTGGCTTGTATGTGAAATGGTAACTATAGGCTGTTAGAATATTTCAACACTTGTTGCCTAGGTGTTAGCACTGTTTTGAGAGGTTGAGAGACCTCATGGACACTGGGATTAAGGGGGAGATGTAGAGCCACATGACATGGCATATGTGTTATAACCGGGATCCCTTGGCACTTTGAGATCTCTCTTTCTGTTTTCTAGTCCAATGAGACACTAGGAGTTCCTGTTTATCACACAGCTGCCACTATGTTCTTTTCCTTGCCTTCACCATCATGATAGATTGAACCCTTTCGAACTACAAGCCAACATAAATCCTTCTTCCTTAAAGATGCTTCTGTTAGCTATTTTATAAGACAGATAAGAAAAGTAACCAGCACTCAGATCCTTCCTCCTCCTATGGACCAGCTCTGCTAGGAATGAGTGCACATTTATAGTAACAGCCAAGTTATTATTCACTTTTTCTTAGGAATGCCGTGAGAGTGGACAGGGTGTAGAATATCTAAAGGCCGCGAAAGGTATCTGTTAGTCGGGATCCCATACTGGGCCCAAAATACTTTTCTCCCCACAGCAAAGCGATGACATGTAATTCACAGCAAGACATCCACAGCTAGCCAGCCTCCCTGTACAGCCCACTCAGCCACTTTAGGTTATTCACCAACTCACCGTGATATCTTTCTCTTTGCTACATTTTCTCTGTTAGTAAAATGCGGACCAAATTTCTCCCATAATATTATTTGGAATGAAATGAGCTAATATGTGTAAATGCATGAGAATATTATTTCAAATAAGATACTCGGTGTGAAATTAAGATAGGAAAAAGTAATAACTACTAAAATATAACATGGCCCTGAGAGATGGCTCATTAGTAAAGTTCTTTGCTGCCATGCCTCATATTCTGAGTTCCATACCCAGGTTACATGGTAGAAGAGAACCATCTACAACCTGCTGTCTTCTAACTTCCACGTGGATTCATGATACCTGTACATACACACCTGTGTATGTTTGTAAATAAATCTTTTAAATGTAGTTTATTTTTAGAAAAAGTCTATAAGAATGGCCTCACGTGTAACTCCATAAATCCTACAGGCCAGCTGATCACATCTTTATTTAGGAAACAGAATTCTTCTAGAGAAATAGAACAGCAGAAAGAAAATGGCCATATATTTTGAATTAATTATATTTAGTTGGACCCCAGGTTTGACTTTACCTTAGGAAGGCATGGAAAGCCAAATTAATTTCATTTTCTTCCAAAGCATTCCCATAAGATATCCAAGACTTACATGTCTGCAAACTGAGATGTAAATAAACCATTTCGTTGTACAGATGCTGCTGCACTTATGAGAGTTAGAGTCTGAAAATTCCGTATGTTAAAAGCATGTTTTGCACGTCACATATGGACCATCAAAGCTTACCCTAAACGACTTATATGGACTGTTTTCCATGCCAAGTATTAGATATGCCATTTTATGTACTGAATCCAGGATGCTGTGCTTTACAGAATCGGTGGCTTACCCATGGGATTGTGTGGCTGACGGGCAGGCCCACCAGCATCCCAGCACTCTACTGTAGTACAAATCAGAAGCCTGGAAAAAGCTCAAATTTCAAAACAAAATGTCCAGTTTCTATCAAATGTGTGTTGCTTTCTAGTCTTAGAAAAGTTGTAAAATTATCAGCCCAACTGCTATAAATCGAGAACAGTCTGTATTTATAAATGGTACAAGAAGAGCCTTTATAAAAGTACATTCTGGTTTAAAGAAGTCACTCAATGCTTAAAACTACATACTGATATTCTTTTGTCAATTTCTTTGAAGAATAATGAGTATGTGGAATTAAATATATATAGTTATTGCTTTATTCCATTGAGAACAATGTATATTTTAGGCATCATGTTAATCATATTTTTGCCTATATTTTGATGTTGTTTTGTTTTACAACACGTTTTCTAAGCTTTTCTTAGGAATATGAAGAGAGCACTGTTTGGAGAAGAAAAAACAATCATAAAAGAATCTGAGCTTTCTCACATGATCTGTGGATACCATGGCTTTTACACACACACACACACACACACACACACACACACCCCTCTGTGTTAGACCCATGAGATGCAGCTCTTGCGTGGATTCTTCTGCTCAGTGTTATGTTATTGACCTTTGCCAAATGTGAGCTGTCTTGAGCTTCCTGCCTTCCTCTAAGGGTGGACAGACTAAGGGTTTTGAAACAAACCTTGCCATTTGAGAATCCCTGCTACAACAAAGCTGTCATAAATAATTTCGTTCTTATGTTTATATCTTTTAGACCATGGCCCGCCTTCTCTCATATCATGTATTTAATTCTTCAGTACCAGAAAGAGCCTAAAAATGGTGAATTTTCAGTGAAACAAACATTCCAGCTTTAAATTCTGATTTCTCCTTTTAACCACGTGAGACATGAGGTACCCAAAGATGCATCTATCTGTATAGCATTCTCACTATAAGTCAGCTAATGATAGGACAGTGAGGTGGAGATTTTGTTCTGAAATAGTCACAAAATTGGAGTAACATAACCAAACATCACCTTATCATATTACAAATAAATGAGCTTTTCTCAGTATCCAGAAAGAACTGTTCCCTAAGACCTGGAAAGGTACCCTAAAATTACAGATGCTAAACTTACATATAATTTGAATACAACCCACAAACCTTTTAGGTGAACTCTAGTTTACTTCTGATACATAAAACAATATTAGGTAAATAGTAGTTATACCCTATTATTTAAAAAATAAGGGCTAAAAATGCCTGAGAACTCAGTATCCACACAGCTGTGATAGGCCTCACGACATCACCTGTGTCAGCAGCTACACATTCTGATCCCAGGGTGGTTTAATTTACCAACATGAAACTTGTGGACGGATGTGGTCCGCTCTATTTTAAAGTAAAATACATTGTTTGAGGTTTATTCCTCTTTTTCAGGAACAACAGCCTCACATTTTCTATGTGACAGCCGTGCTAAGTGCTCACTAGATGGAGACGACTGTGGTCCTACAAGACATCCCAACAGGAAAGTGGCTACAGCATCCAAGTCCATTTTAGCACACCCTTTCAGCTTTCTTCTCCCACTACTGAACGGGGCTTTGTTGTGTGCTGTTAGCAGCTTTCCATTCTTTATCTTCCCTTCCCGCTATCTCTATAAGGCTGCCAGGCTAATATCCTTCATATAATTTATCTTATCACTTCCCTGTTCGTGTTTACACCTGCTGGCTTCATTCACAATTTTAAGGGAAAGCCTCTCTTCGGTTTCCAAGATGCAGCTTTTTCTGGCTCCACTTTACTTTCCCAGACTTCCTGTTTATGTTTCTCCTGCTAAGTCTGAACCATCCTTTTTCATCTCTGCTCTGGAAATTCTTCTTGAATAGAGAATGTTCTATCAGCATGTCCCTTGATTTTTCAAAGTCCTATGCATTTTTTCAAGGCCTGGGCCAATGTGTTAAACTACCTCAATAATTACCAGACACCCAGCTCAATGGCACACACTAATTAAGAGCTTGTTACTCATAGTCAGGAAGGAGGCCAAGTTCTTTATTGGCACTGTTACTATTACAGACAGGTATCATAAACCTTTTCTATTTATGATGGCAAGGAAATGGAAGCAACTTCAGCATCCATCAACAGAAAGATAGAAATGTGGTTCACATGGAAAACAGAATACTCAGTTGTAAAGAAAAATGAAATCAAGAACTATGCATGAAAAGGACTAGACTTAGTATGTAAAATATTAAGTAAGGTCGCTCAAACTCAGAAAAAAATAGAATGTGCAGATCCCAGATCTATAATGCATAAATGTTAATATGTGGACAGTTGTAAGTGTTTTTATAGAGTATCATTCATAAAGGGATCAAGAAAGAGGAATGGTAGCAAATGAGGCGACACAGAACACAGGCAAAAGGACACTTGCGTCATGAAAGAGGATAAAAGCTAACTCTTTTTTATTTTTTTTTAAATCTCAGCTCTGTCGTAGTCTTTCGTGTTGGATAAGCCCACAAAAGTATAGTTGATAGTGGAAAGTGTAAAACCCCAAGTGAAGTTTCATGGCTTCAAAATGGCCCTTCTAACCTTCTATCTGTGTAGAAGTTCACTGAGAGGCATCGTTTGGGGATTGAGCAAATTTTTGCTTGAGTGGTTTACTTTAGCTATGTGGTGTTTTTCTCCATGAGTTCATGACAGGGAAGTGATTTACAAAGGAAAGGGAGGCTTTAGGCTCCAGACCGAAAGGCAGGATCTTCATAGCCCCAAATTTACTATTATGGTTAAGCATCATGTACCTTGTTTTGTAGGTAGATTACGCTTGTGGAAGAGCAGAAAGTAAAGCTGAATTTCTATGTGGCCTCCATTTTCCCTTCTTTTACCTCAGCAAGGCTCTCTAACAAAGCTGCACTTGCGTCTCGGTCACTGCTCACTGAATTACAGACTGTACTGTTTCTTGCTATTTGTAAATGCACTTCCCATATGCAATCACTCTTTAGCTCTCTTGTAAATGGAACATGTTATGTTACTATCAAACGAAGGCATGCATTATGCC